GAGCCAAATCCCCGCACCGCACATCTTTCTTGTGGGGAGGGAAGAAGTGAGACGCCAAGTGGAAGGAATAGTTTACTCTGTACAAAAGGACTTGAGATTAGGATGGAGGAAGTTGACATTCGGACAGGCGTGCGTCTAGCCGCGAGGGTTTGCATCCGAAGTGTGTCAGCGCGAGGGTCGTCACAAGCGGTCAGAGCGGTCTTTTTGTTAATCGGTTAATGATTGGCCAGACGGAATTTTTGTCGACGTAAAAATGCGCCCTTGCTAGCAGTCGCGAGAGCCGAAACGTTGGGCTTTGCACGCGGACTAGGGCCACAACAAGCAAGCTCTACCGTCAAGGAACACATGGGATATTTCACAACGGTGTTTGACCACCGGCAATAATGTAACGTTGTCCTCAAACCATCCACGTGCGTCGTCATCGTTCTTTCTCTTGAGTCGCTTGGGCACTATACTGACACCACCGCCACCCATCTTCTGCCTTCGAAGATTGTTTTCATCCGTGAATTCCCCTCTTCTGCTTCTTCTTCCAAACTTTGACGTCAACGGGTTTCAAATGTTCGTTCGAGCTATCGACAGGAGCCCTCGTTACTTTTGGCAACGCCAAGGCTGCCCTAACCGATTTCATCCATCTGATGCCTTCAGCCCCTGATGCTCTCATCTTCCTAATGGTTGACGCCTCTAATGTAGCAGTTGAAGCAGTTCTTTAGCAGCACCCTGCAGGTGGAGTCCAACCCTTAGCCTTATTCCTCAGAAAGTCACAGCCTGCCGAATCACGCTACAACACATTTCGACGAGAGAGCCTTGCTGTCTACCTAGTTATGAAACACTTTATTAACTTCCTTAAGGGCAGAGACTTTCTTGTGTTCTCTGATCACAAGTCGTTCGCCTTCATCTGAAATTCGAACTCCAAGAAGTTATACCCCCGGATGATTCGCCAACTGGACGATTATCTTCAGTTCACCTCAGATATCTACCACATCGATGGGTCACTAAATGAGGACTCCGGCGGGTTGTGAAGGCTCTCCATTGCTTATCTGCAAACTACTTCGGAAATCGACCTTGCTGAAATGGCTGCAAAACAACGTCGTGTTGGCGAGGATGTTTCCCGACTCCAAGACCACCACCGCC